TAATAGTGGTGTGGGAAGGGGAAAATGTTGAATCATAATAGATGGAATTAGACACGTGTCAAATAATCGATAGTAATAATGAGAGAGAGAGAGAGAGAGAGAGAGAGAGAGAGAGAGGTAATTAATTTAGGAATTTCATAATCCTTAAATGAATTGTAATAACGAATGAAGGAACGTTCTAACTTTTTTTTTTATTTTTATATTTCTTATATCTTTTATTTCATTTTATTCGTTTTATGTTTATTTATTTGATTTATTTTTCTTTTTTTTTTTTTTTTTTTGTCAATTAATTAATATCAAAAGAATGACGGAATGAGAGAAAGAAGAAGAAAGGAAATTCTATTGCGAAGAATCGAATCGTAGTAAAAGGTATAAAGAGACAAGTCAAATAATCAATACTAACAATGAGAGAGGAAGAGAGAGAGAGAGAGAGAGAAAAAAGGTAACTTTTAGATCATTGAATGAATTAGAGTATTGAATGAAGGTATTATTTTATTTTTTTCTTTTTTCTTTTTCTTTTTTGTCTCTTTACTTCATTTCGTTTGATTTCATTTGTTTATCTATTTCCCCCTTCCCTTTCTTTTCTCTTTTCTTTCTGTTTCTTTTCTTCTTTTTCTTTTTTTTTTTTTTTTTTTTTTTTTTTTTTTTTTTTTTTTTTTTTTTTTTTTGATCAGCATCAGAAAGAATGACGGAGTGAAATGAGAGAAGAAGAAAAAACAATTCTGGCGCGAAATTGAATTGTAATAAAAAGGTATAGAAACAAAGTCAAATATAGTCAATAATAACAATCAGAGTGAGAGAAAGAAAAAGACAGAAAAATAGAGAGAGAGAGAGAGAGAGAGACCTTTATTCAAGTTTTTTCAAATCATTGAACAAATTGAATAACGCACGAAGAAATGTTCTATCTTTTCGTTCTTTATTTATTTACTCTTTTTTCTCTTCACTTTTCCTTTTGATTTCTTTCCTTTTTTTGTGTTCCTTTTTTGTTTGGATTTGTTACGAAGAAGGAAAGAACGAAAAGAGAGAGAGAGAGAGAGAGAGAGAGAGAGAAATAGAAATACTAATACGAAAAATTGTATCATACTAAATGTAATAGACGAAAATCAAAAGTCAATAATAACAATGAAAAAGAGGAAAAGATGCAAAGAGAAAGAGAGAGAGAGAGAGAGAGAGAGAGAGAGAGAAAAGTCATAGACTTATTCACATCAATGAATGAGTTTCGTATCGAGCGAAGAAACGTTCTATTTTTTGTTATTTCTTTCTTTTTCTCATTTATTTATTTGTTGTTCATTTTTATTTTTGATTGAATTGAAAAGAATGAAAGAATATAAAAGAGAGAAAGAAATACTAATACGGAAAATTGTAATCGTAGTAAAAGTAATCGACGAAAATCAAATAGTCAATAGTAACAATGAGACAGAGAAAGAGAGAGAGAGAGATAGAGAGAGAGAGAGAAAGATCTATGTTTAGAATTTTCGAATCATTGAACAAATTCAGTAAAGAATGAAGAAATTTTCTATTTTTTATTTTACTCTTTTATTTTTTTTTTTTTTGTTTTTTTTTCTTTGAATATCCAAGAAAGAATGAATAAATGAAAATCACTTAATACGAGAAGTTGAATCGCATTGAATGAAAGAAATAAAAAACAAATATTCAATAATAAGGATGAAAGAGAGAGTGAAAGAGAGAGAGAGAGAGAGAGACAGAGAGGAGAGATCTTTATTCAGGAGTTTTGAATCATTGAACGTGTTTAGTAATGAACAAAAGAAACGTTTTATATTTTATTTCCTTTTTATCATTTTTTTATCATTAGTTTTTCTTTCTTCTTTTCATTTCTCTTTTAAATTGACTTAATGTAACGAACGAAAGAAACGTTTTATATTTTATTTTCTTTTTTATCATTATTTTATCATTATTTTTTTCTATTTCCTTTTTCTTTTCTCTTTTAAATTGACTAATATATATCAGAAAGGAATGAAAAAATGTAAAAAAGAAAATCAATTATTAATGAATAGTTAGATCGTAATAGACGTAATAGATTCAAGTCAAATAATCAAAGGATAAAGAAAAAAAATTAAATAAGAAAAAGAAAAAAATGTGAAAAAAAAAAATCAATTATTAATGAAAAGTTAAATGGTTAATAAACGTAATAGATTCAAGTCAAATAATCAATAGTAACAATGAAAGATTAAAAGAGAAAAAGAGAGAGAGAGAGAGAGAGAGAGAGAGAGAGAAAGAGAAAGAGAGATAAGCTGTACTCTCGATTTTACAAATTATCGATAATATGTGAATTCTACACAAAGTTTTGAAAGTTTTCGTTTCAAAACGAATGTAAATAAACGAATTTTCGAGAATTGCAGTTTATTATTATCATTTCTTAATTGTCCAATATTAATTAATAATAAGAACGAAATATAATAAGAATGAAATGAAATGAAAGTTAAAAGCGAAAAGCTTTCTTTCGTTATCTGTCAAAAAAGTTAAATGAAGCACACACTCTCTCTCTCTCTTTCTCCCTCTCTTCCTCTCTCTCTCTCTCTCTCTCTCTCTCTCTCTGTCTCTATCTCTCTTTCTCTCTCTATCTCTCTCTGTCTCTATCTCTCTCTCTATTTTTTTATTTATTTCTTTTTCTTGTTCAAGTCGAATTTTAGTGTTCGGTTGAATCGCATAAATCATTATCGATTTTCTATCTCTATCTCTATCTATCTCTATCTTTATTTCTCTCTATCTATCTATCTGTCTATCTCTCTGTCCATTTGACTTATTATCTATATGTCTCTCTATCTCTTTTCCGATGATCCTAGTCAAACGAGTTCCCGAATTTACGATTCCATAGGATATATATATATATATTACTTATGTTTAAAAGATTTCATTCACAGTAATTATCGATTTTCTATTATTATTTCGATTTAAAATTTAATTGTGAATTTATATTTATTATCATAATATATGTACGTATATATGTATATACTTATGTGTCTAACGTGTAAATTCGAATTTATATATATGTACACACACACACACACACACACACACACACACATATATATATATATATATACAATAATTATTCATTCTTTCATTCATTTATTCATAATTAAAGTTTAACGAAATTATATTATAGTATTACGATAATCTCTTTAGTGTAATGGTACGAATTTCTAATCAATCGACTCGAATAATAAAAATTTAACCAAATTTTTCTTTTAAACCTAAAAAAGTAATACGATTTTTAATATCACTTAAAAAAAATTATTTTTAATGAAATTATTATTATTATTATCATTATTATTATTATCATTATTACTATTATCACGATCTTACCTGACACTGAAGTTTATCACGAGTCGGTTTGTAATAAAAATACAAAAAAGAAAAAAAGAAAAAAGAAAAAAAAAAGTAAAAAAAAAAAAAGAAGATACAAAAAGATTTTGTTTCTTTCAATCATAAATGTAATCAATTGAATTACATTAATACATATTTGATTATTACACATAATTATAATTAAAGTTATATTATTACGTTGTCTAATTTGATATTAAGGTTTTTCTAATCAATAGATTTCTAATTAAACGTATATTAATTGTTTATTATGTTAAATCATTCTCCATGTATTTTGTAATATCAATATAACTCCAAATTAATAATAATAATAATAATAATAATAATAATAATAATAATAATAATAATAATAATAATAATAATAATAATAATAATAATAATGATAATAATACTAATAATAATAATAATAATAATATTAAAAATAATGCTGAATTCGCTACAAAAAGAAAAAAAAAAGAAAAAAAAAAAAAAGAAAAAAAGAAAAAAGAAAAAATCTCAGGATACCTAAACTTTTACGAAAATGAACGCGTACACACGCACACGCATACGAACACGCATGCACACATACACACACACACAAATACACACATCCTACGTCGTTTATTTCGGCCACCTGTTGAAGGATCCGCATCGAGCAACACTGTAATTTTCTTTGCCTTTCACTAAAACCGTCAACAATCAACACGATCTCTACAAAAATTCTCTATTTTTCTGTACAAAAAAAAAAAAAAAAAGAAGAAAAAAAGAAAAAAAAAATTCGTGTCTCAAAATTCTTCTGAGACACCTTAAACCTATTGAAATATATCGATAATTCGTATAATACATCGAATGAACGGTTCCTTCTTCTAAACGCTATATAATATAACGAAAATTAGTATTGCAAAAAGAAAGAAAAATAAAAAAAAAAAAAAGGAGAAGAAATAATTTCAAAAGATTAAACGTATGATACAATATCGATCCTTTTCGATTGATCGACGCCATCGATATTCCATTCGACGACTTCAAACTTCGAGGAGGGCACAATATTTATTTATTTATTTATTTATTTATTTATTCATTTATTCATTTATTCATTTATTAATTTTTTTTTTAATTCAATTTATTTTCGATCCTTTTCACGGAATTAAAAAGAAAGAAAGAAAGAAAAAAAAAAAGAAAAAACAAGAAGAAAAAAAAAAAAAAAAAGAAGAAAAAGATTCATTTTACCAACTGGACTATCTGTAATTTTTTGATTTCCTTCTTCCGCCTTTTCCTCTTTTCTTTTTCTTTTTTTTTTTTTTTTTTTTTTTTTTTTGAACGATCGTAACTCGATCGACGAAAGATCTTTTATCGATCGTTATTCGATGATCGAATTTCGATAATTCCTTTGCTCATAAATCTTTAATATTTTTTTCTTTACGTTTTACTTTACTACATTAGGAAAATATGATGGAGATTTGGTTTATATATGTTATTCACGTTATATAAACACAGCACCAAAACGCGAGATATCGAAATTGCGATTGCGGCCGACGCGCGCTGTTTTCCGTCGGCGACTGAAAACGGAAAATTCGTTCGCCTCAAACCTCTCGACGGAGTGTGTCGTCGCGCCGTTTTTCTACGCATGCGTAATCGTTCTCTATACATTCTCTACAATTCCTCCTCCTCCACCTCCTTCACCTCCTCCTCCTCCTCCTCTTCCTCTTCTTCTTAAACTTCTCTCCTCACCATCTTTCCAATGTACCACTGTGATTTTCTACAGGTCCTCTTCTATATCGATTCAATCATAATTTTACTTATTTCCTTCCGTTTTCTTTTATTATTTCTTTTTCATTTCTTTCATTTGTCTTTTCTTTTTCTTTTTTTCTTTTTTTTTTTTTTTTTTTTTTTTTTTTACTAACGCAAATGATCGTATATAAACTTTTTTTGTTTTATTTTTTAATACAAAAAAAAAAAATATATATATATATATATAGAGGCTGTTGATTTTAAAAGTGGGATGAGTCCATTTTTGTTTTTTTTCTTTTTTTTTTTATAAATGAAAACAAATTTTACGTTAATTTGTAATAAGAATTAGTTTTAACTATTTTTCTTTTTTCACAGAATGGAATATATAAATAATAATAATAAAAAAAAATATAGATATATAAATAATAATACTAGAGTATAGATAGATAAATAATAATATAAATAATAATATAAAGATAATATATAAATGAATGAATGTAAATAAATAAAAAAAAAAAAAAAAAAATATAAAAAAAAAATAAAAAATAAAAATACAAAGAAAGAAAAAGAAATTATACATCATTATCATATATTACGTTTATTATACGAATTTTATATTATTATCGTTATGTTACATTATACAAATATAGACTATAATCTTCTACTATTCATTGGCTAATCATAATTTTCTTATTTACTTTCTTTTTCTTTTTTTGTTCCTTCTTTTTTTTTTGACGGAAAACTTGTATATAATATTTTTATTTTTATTGCCTATTTTTTTTTTTTTTTTTTTCATATTCGATATAAAGAATATATGAAATGAGAAATATAATATTTTAAATGATATTCCAAGCATTAAAATTATTGGAACGCTTGCGGATAAGTTTTCAAAATTTTTGAATTCATATATAATTTTTCAAAATATATAATAATAATAATAATAATAATAATAATAATAATATTATTATTATTATTATTATACATATATATATAATAATATATTATTATTATATATATGTATATCAATAAACAACAAGCAAGAAAAAAAAAAAATATTCTTAGAAAAATATTCAAAGAAAAATATTCTTAGAAAAAAAATAATTAAATAATATGTCCTATCCAAACAAAAGTTAGCATTATTTTCTTACGAAATAAACCGCTGACAAACTTGTTCACTTTTCAAGGTTTCGAAGTAAAAATAAGACGAAAAGAAAAAAATAAAAAAAAAAAAAAAAAAACAAAAAGAAAGAAAAAATAGTAAAATAGAAGAAGAAAAAAAAGAAATAAAAATGAAAGAAAAAGAGAGAGAAAGAAAAAAAAAATTTTCTGAGGGGAAGCGGGGTAAGTTGGAGGGAAGACAAAGTAAACTTCAAGAAAAAGATCCAACAAGACAAATATCGAATTATATGATTGGGACGGTGAAACGAACGGTAAAACGTTTTTCCGTCGGATGTTATTTATTGGTCATCTTTAAATAAGATTTTACGATTATTTCCTACCACTGGCATTAGAAATTCTGTCTGGAAATTTCGTCATTTGGGAAATAACTCCTAAACTCGTTTCTACTTTGTAACCTTGATTGCGTAAGAGGTTTATAAAAAGGATAATGAGAAAAATTGTTTTTTTTTTATTTTTTTATTTTTTTTTAATTATTTATAAAAAGACAAAAAGAAAAGAAAAAAAAAAGAAAGAAAGAGAAAAGAAACAAAATCAGAGAACGAAAATAGCAAAGAACGTAATACGTTTATTCTATTATCTAATCGTTCCTAATCATAATCGTTCCTGTATCTTTTTTCAATACAGCATACATGTATTTGAGGTTATGTTTAATTTTAAATATAAATAAATAAATAAATAAATACATAAATAATTAATTAATTGCATTATTTACACGACAGACAATATTTATTAAAATCGATGTTAAACTTAATCCCAAAATAATGATTGTAAATTTAAATAAATAATAAATTTATTATTGCGATTTTTTTTTTTTTTTTTTTTTTTTTTTTTTTTTTAAATATACAACGAATGTAAAACAAATGAAAAATATTCCTATAGGGCCTATCTCCTCACCCTATCCAGTTTTGTTGATCGAAGACAATGATCGTACAAAATATAATGAAAATTTGTAGGATCACGTAAAGAAATTCTTGAAATATTTTATAAAATTTAATAAAATCTTGATGATCAGGCAAGATGCGTACGTTCACGGCTTGATATATGGGGAAGATAAGGATATAACAAAAGGGTGGAAAACTATGGATTATATTACGAAAAAATTTGATTGTATGAGAGTTTCCTTCACTTAGTGAAAAGAGGAACATCTAGGGAAAACAAAATGTGTATAAAATCATATATATATATATATATAAATTATGTGTAAAAAAACACGTTTCTCTCCTCTCTCTCTCTCTCTCTCCCCCTCTCTCTGTCTCTCTCTCTCACAAC